AGTGCTCTTCTGGGGTGCTCTTCTGGGATCAGCCCAGGTCGAGGGGTCACACAGCCTCCACCCCCCCCCGCCCCTCTCGGAATCTAGGGACCAGCAAGGGCCGGGTACAGGGTCCCGGGCTACCACCGTTCCCAGCCCTACCGCAACCTCCCAGACCCACGGCCCACGTACAGAAGAGAGGGTCTGCAGTCCCGCGAAGCGGAGCTATTTGAAATAGAAACAGCCAAAGGCAGCAGCTGAACCGGGGAACTCCGGGGCTCCCAGGCCCTGGCAGCTACTTCACAAGCAAGAGATGCCCGAGGTTAAGTGGACCTGCAGCTGGCGGTGCTGGGAGCCACCTCGTAGGCAGCTTCAGGCATGAGCTTTAGCCTTGACACAGGTGTGAAGAGGCGCTGGGGGGCGGGCCAGGTGTATGGGCTCAAGTCTGGGATACTATCCATTTGGGAGGCAGAGATCAGGAAGCCAGCCAGGCCCCCTCCTCCCAAAACAAATGGCAAGACCCCATCCCAACAAACATATTGAACATGGAGATTCACATCTGTAATCTTAGCTACAAAAAAAAATGCACAGGTAAGAGGGTTGCAGTCTGAGGCAAATCCTGGGCAAAAGCAGAAGACCCTATTTAAACAAAAAAGCAAAAAGGGATGTGGAAGCTTGACTTCTGTGGTAAAGCATTAGGCTAGCAAGCATCAGGCTGAGTTCAAACTCCAGTCCTGCCAAAATAAAAGGAAGAATCTCCACAACTTTTTTTTTTTTGGGGGGGGGGTCCGGTCGTGGGGCCTGAACTCTGGGCCTGGGCGCTGTCCCCCACAGCTCCACACCAAAACGAGAGCGCTCCAACACGAGACACAGAGCCACACCCCCCGCTTTTCACATTGCGCATATGGGGCGCAGAAAAAGAAAACACAGCCTCAGGCATGCAAGGCAAGCGCTCTACCACCGAGCCACCTTCCCAGCCCCAATCTCCACAACTTCATGAGTGAGAATCCACCGAAGGCAGCTGTCAGGATTACATTTTAGGAAGGCAATGAGGCAGCCTGGCCAGCCCAGCACCTGCAGCCCCATGGTCCTGCCCCTTAGTGATGGCTGGGTGGAAGTAACTCCAATGACCATGCCAGACTCATCTTGTGCAAGAACCCATTACTTGGGCTCATCCCTACCACCTGACTACAGTGGCTCAGAGCAAGCCACCATGTCCATGCTGCCAAAATCATTGATCACACCTCCCCCCCTCATAGCAGGTGTGGCAGTACACACCTGTAATCTCAGCACTTGGGAGGCTGAGGCAGGAGGACAGAGAGTTGGAGTCCAACTTTGTAGCTGGGCTACAAAGCAGTTCAAGGCCAATCTGGGTTACAAACAGACCTGTTTCAAAAATAAAGAAAAACTTCACTGTACACACAGCTAAGCAGAGATCAAGAGCCACTTGGCACCCTGGGCTTCCCAGGCCCAGGGCAGGTATACCATTGGCACGGCAACATCATTCTAGTGAATTACAGCCACACACGCTCTCAGATTAATTCTCCCCATCATCTCCACAAGAAGAACCCTCTTTCCAAACCATCAGCTGACAAACATTGACAACAAAATCTTTTCCAAGGAAATGCAATGCTTTTATTGTTCCACCTGCAGATTCCATCTCCAAGACGCAGATGCCCCACATCCTTAACACTGGCTGGAAACGTGCACGGTCTGATGAATTCTCCAACAAGCTTCCAGGGTAGAAAGCTCTTTACCAGGGCTAGAAAACCTAAGCAGTCTCTGTGTTGATCATATGCTGAAAGGAGGGACAAACTGCCCACAGCTGCCCCAATCAGCCCATCTGGCTGAGTCCCACCAGGGGGAGAAGCTGAAACCATCACTGATGAGCTGCACAACTTGTTTTCACCACATGGCAAGGACTTCCTACCACACCACAGAACTTTACACATGACTGGCACCAGATCTGCGAGTCTAGGCTGTCCTAGAACTCTAGATCCTACCTCACCATCCAGAGTGCTGGAGTCACAGGCATGCACCACCACACCCAGCCTACAGTTTTTACACCAAGTTGCTGGTACTTATTTCACATCAACAATGTTCTCATCCATGCAACAAGAAGAGGAATTTGAGTCATCTGTGCTGAATCCTTTGCTGCCATACAGTATCTTCAAGCATCGTTTTCACATCTTTGAACACATGATTTAGGAGTGACAGAACTTCAGAACTTCAGCAGCAACACCTTCCAGGTCCATGTCTCAGCTGGAGATGCTATGGGCAAGGTTGCAGGCCCAAGAGTTTAAAAGCACATAGGCCACCTCACCGCTGACAGAACACCCACATAGCTCTACCAGTCCCCACTGCCAACCAAGTTCCCAGCTTTCACATCACAGTATTGTATTATTACTACGTATCACAATATTATATCCCAGCATTGGCATCACAGTAGTAACCTCTGAGTTTTAAATCTGCACCTTCTGCCATGTTTGCATAGACATGACACTAGGAGCGTGGCCCTTGAGGACTACGGGCTTCCTAAGATCTGAACTAAAGCCATCTCACAGTAGGTCCAAAACTAACCTGTACAGTGGGAGGCTGCACCCCGCCATTTGTCTTCACACCAATAAAAGCATTCACTATGTAATGCACAAGGCCACTACAGAGGCCAAAAGTGAGCTTCTAAATTACTATCTAACAGATACAATACATTGTATCACACACATAATGTGTCCATATTTTAACTACAACTCCATAAATACTTGATGTTTACACCCATGACATCAGGGGAATGCAGTAAGACTACATAGAAAAGTGTTTGAAAATCAGACAGAACAAGCTCTGAGGGGTGGATGTCACACTGGGAAGTCACTACTTATCCACAATAATCAAAAGCTGACTGAGGGTTACCTGATGCAGACCAAATCTAGGAACAAAGACAGCACTGTAGAGGAGCAGGGTGAGACATGGTAACCTACAGCACAGGCTGGGGGCTGGTTTATAGGACCAAGAGGAGGACAGACTTCTCATACCCTGGAAGGTTCCACTTATGTCATCTGGACACGTCCTCACTTTAAAACACAACCATAAATAAAGCTGCTCAGAAACATAATGCACACAGCACACGTGGTCCTCTGGGCCCTCAGGGAAGGGCAGCATCTCCACACACCCACCACAGCTGCTGCCCTGGCGCCACATAAGCTTCCACACTGTGGCCCTCTGCTTTGCAATGGTCTTCCTAGTGAACTTCTGAAAACTAATCCCACAGTCGTCTACCAGGAGAAAGTAAGTAACTCCCTTAAAAAGCAACAGCAGCAGCGGTAGGCGCCACCAGGTGACATGGGGTTAGGTTGCTGGGGCTCTTATGAAGACGACAACATGATGACACACACCATGGACAGACGTGAGTCACACTACTGCGGGGCAGTGGGAGGCAAGCCACACTGAGGCCCCTCCCCAGCTCCCAGCCCGGGCGGCTGGCACTGCGCTCTGTGCCACACCTGTGGCCCAAGAGCTTTTCACAGCACTCTCAAAGTCTGCTTTGCAAATGAGGAATCAGTGTGCCAGATAATCAGCAATGAAAGAAAATACAGCACAGAAGTTATATGTGTTTCTCCAAACGTGGGAACACTGCAGGCTCCCAGCGCAGGCTCAGGCCATGCAGGACAAGGCCTGCTTACGTAAGGATCGGTGGAGCAGGTTTGCACCCCATACCCACAGCCATTCGGGCATGTACTGTGCAAAGAGAAACTGAAAATGAGAGAGAGAAAAAAAGCTGAAGGTTAGAGTCCAAAGCCATCAACACTCATACACATGATTTATCAGACAAATAGCTGCAACCTTACTAAGGACAAGGGAGAAAGCCAGCCCCTGGTTTGTATGGAATAACTTTCACAGAAGACACAATCCTATAATCATTGGGGAACAAGCAGACGTGATCAACTTAAGTTGTTACTATCTCTCCTTCCCTTCTCCCCTCCCCCCCCACCCCCTGCACACCATACACACACACACACACACACACACACACACACGTGCATGCGCACATCCTGTCTGAAATGATGTGTGTGGTTGCCAATGCCATCTTTATCTCACATGGGATGAACAGCTACTAACAGGTTAGTAGCCCACGAAGAGCTGACTTCAGGGGACAGGCTGGAACATACTTAAAGGAGAACTAAGAAACTCTAGTACTTGAAAAGGTGGCTGGGGACATGAGGAAGGGGCTCAGGGAACCAGGAGGGGTCTCGACCCATCCCAGCCAGAGATGGCAGTGTCTGGAAACACGTCTGGCTGTCACACTGGGTGTTGCTGGTTCCTAATGACACAGGGATGTCGCACAACAGATTGATAATATTGGAAATAATTTGAGTAAAATAAAAATGATATTGAAAAGGTGGAAATGTAACAGTTCGGGGGAGGGGGGAATCTACCTCAGGAATCAAATGAGCTTCATAAACACTCGGGAGAACACCCTAAGGAGCTCATCCGTGCACACAAGGTTTGCAACTAGAACATTGGTGCATATAAATTACACAGTACTGGAGGCTGAGGTTTGAAGGACCAAAGTTTGAGGTGAGCCTAAGCAGAAAAAAAGAAAAGAAAAGAAAAAGAAAGGGAGGGAGGGAAGAAACCTCCAAGTATTAAAAAATTCTGAATTAGTGCACAGCTAGTTTCTATGCTAGATAATAAGGCACAAATTATTGAATGAACCACAAACCAGTTGTTATAAATCACTGAGTTCTCTCCCTAATACTCAGAATCATAATTTTAAATATTTAACAAAGCCAAGAGTCTCTTAACAGACCTAGGTCTTTGTCATGTCTGAACAACCAACTTTAAACAACAAACTTTGCTGCCTGAACAAATGAGTCCAAGAATACAGAGACACTCTGGAGGTCATGGCCATGTGAGGGAGATGTGCACTATCTTGGGGTCTCAGGCTTTTCACCTTGAGGTTCACTTGGAGGTCACCCTTTGAGTAGTGCTGGAGTCTTCACTATGGAGTCCCCGCCCAGCCTTCTCACTCCGGCCCCCACCCTCGCTCACTAAGGCAGTGTGTTCCATCTGTAGCTGTCAGACAGACTGAGAGCATCTTCATGTTGTAAGCTGAGACTGTGAGTACAGTCAGCATGCACAGTCCTCCCCTCTCCACCCTGGCCCGTGTGTCACTGAGCAAGCTTAGAAGCCACCCTACCTGAATGGAATGGGACCAGTATCCCGTGGTCCTCTTCGAAATCCCCAGAGTAGAAACTGCATGATGTGCGTATACCTTAGGTGAAGGCACCAGCCATGGGCATCGGTGCAGAAAGCTGCCAGGTGTAGCCACGTTGGTGGCTACGTAGAAAGGAATTAGACTCTGTACAAAGATTCCCTTAGAAGCATACTCATACTGCAAGGCTCTGCTGAAGTGGTCTAAGTAAGCCTGGAAGAAAGAGGAGGAGGCAGCTCTTAACTTAAGAGGAAACATGGAAGCAAATGTGGAGGGAGAAAAGACTTGCTTATTATCATTCCAGAAAAAAATACAGCCTAAGCAAACAGGAGCTGCTGGAAAAGAGCTCATGGCTGTAATAAACGGCCTGTCGTTTGAGGATTTCATTTTCCGGGAAGGAAAAACTGACCTTCGATGCAGAAAACGCAGCCAGCTGTGGAGTAGGTTTACAGCAAGAGCCAGACGAGATGGTAACGATGGCGCCCCTCTTCCTCTCCACCATTCCTGGCAACACCATGTGGACCAGCAAACTAGCAGCAGCAATGTTGACATTTATGATGTCCCAGAGCTTGTCCTCTGAGACCTGAGCAAAATACTGCGGGTAGGGGTAGGACACGCCCACGTCATTTACCAAGATGCCAACGTCCCTGTCTTTCAGGGCTTCTCGAATGGGAACATAGATCTCTCGTCCTCGGCTGAAGTCTGCCACTATAACATCAGTTTCCACTTTGTAGGTGTCGGCTATATCCTTGGCAACAGTCTGCACCTTCTCTTTGTTCCCACTAATGAGGATAATGTTGAGACCTTGGCTCGCTAATTCTTCTGCATAGGCTTTTCCGATTCCATCTGCTGCACCTGAAATGCAAGCCAAGAAACCTGAGCATGCTTGTTCCAAGGGACCTTCCACAAGAAACCTCCCTCCCCACAGCCAGTTCAACAGAGACGACTGCACCCCAGAGAGTGCACATTCCACCCCCACAGGGCAAGGGCATGCTGAATGAGGGATGCAAAGGCTGCGTGCCAGACACCCCAGCACTCCACAGTCAGACAGGGCTGTTTTACATCCAGCACAAGGGCAAGAGATGAAGTAGGAGTTTGTTTCCAAACTTCCATCTGGCTTGTAGGAGCACCAGGAGGTGCTTTTCTGGGACACTGTGATAGAAATTCAAAAATCAAAAAGGGAATGTGAGGGACAGGAAGTGCGACTGACTCAGGCTGAGATGAGGCGGTGGAAGGAAGACGCTGTCTGGAGCCAAGGTCTTTGGAAGAGGAGGGCAGGCGGGGAGAGAGAGGCACTCTTAACCACCTGTTCACGGGAAAACATCGCAGCAAATGCAACAGCTCCTTGACTACAGCTTCCCGCTTAAAATACAAAAGAACACAAAATCTGGTTACCGCTGACGACAGCCCATCTTCCGTACTGCTTGATCAGGTCTGCCCTGCTGCCCAGGCGTGGGATGAAGTGCAGCCTGACCAGGCTGTAGAAGTCACAGATGACGGTGATGCTTTTCCTAGCCGTGTACCAGGCTCCCACCAATGCCAGGGCTTCCATGTAGCAATTGCAAGACCTGGCAATTTCTCTGTACAAGAGGTAGAAGCTGTCCACAGCAGCCATGGTACCTGAGGGACAGGAAAAAGGTGTTCAAGGACCACGCAGGACACATACCCTGATGCCTGCATTTAGTAACAGTGACTCCTCCAAGGCCTGTGGCCTGTGCACCCTGCCAGCTGATGATCTGCTCAGTTAATACCTGGGTCTCCACAAGTTCCTTCAATTACCACATTCCCAGATTCCTCCTAAAAATCTGATGCTATACACTATGTGTTGTGGGGAAAGAAGTAAGCACAATGTGCTGAACTCTTTTTTTTTTTTTTAATTCCTGTTCCTGCAGAGTAAGATGACAGACTCAAAAGACAGGCTCAATTCATAGAGAGTTGTCAGCAAGTACAGAGGCCTCCATAGCCACAGGCACGGTGGAGGAGGCAGAGGCAGTGTGGGCAAGGCCCTGGCCTGATGACCTTAGCATCCTCCTAGACAAAACCAAGCCTGCACAGAAAAGCATTCTGTACAAGGGTAAGGTGGCCAAATCTGTAAGCGTTGGGGAGGCTGAGGCAGGAGGATGGTGAGTTAGAGGCCAGCGTGGGCTATCCTTGCACTGACACTCTGTCTTGGCAAAACAACCTAAAGCAAATAAACAAAGAGTGAAGAGGCAGACACTTAACCAGATGATGAAAACATCATGTGACTGGTGGGTATACATGTGCTGGCCATCAGAGGCAGGCTGGAGATGCATGACCAAGGAATGCATGACCTACAGGCCAAGTCAGGGGCCACAGTGCCTGAGTGGTTATCATTATGAGAGCCATATCCAACAACCAAAACACTGACTTCTTGTAAGAAAGAGCATTAGAGCCAGAGATGCACTGCTCACACCTGTTAATTCCCGTTACTCCTATCTCAGTCCAAGGCTGGCCCAAGTGAAAGCACAAGCCCCTATTAAAAACAAAGTGACACTCTGAATTGCTGGGAATGGGACTCAAGTGATAGAAACTGGCCTAGCAAGCTCTAGGCCATGAGTTCAATACCAGTAGCCCCTGCTCCACACACATAGGAAAGAAAGATAAAGAGTATTAAAACTTCAAGCTCTATGTTAAACCATCCTAAGTGAGCTGGTCTTGAAATAGCTTTTTTAAAGCATGTGTTTCTTCATTATGACTAATCAAACTCCAGAGTATATATAAAGCAAACACAAGTCAGACACAATGGTGCAAAACTGTAATCCCAGCACTCAAGAGGCTGAGACAGGAGGATGGGGAGTTCAAGACCAGCTTGGGTGGAAAAAGAAAGGAAGGGATTGAAGGGGAGGGGAAGAAAAATTACTTGTGTTAGGCCTTCTCAATTAAAGGGTAACAGAATGAGAAGGCGGAGGAGCAGCTCAGGGGCAAAGCAAAGCATGTGCCTAGCATGGGCTAGATTATAGAAAAGGAAGAAAATGAGGACTTCAGACCACTGAGCACTTGGGATAGAAGCCTATTCTGGTGGTGTGGGTGTGTCCAGGAGGCTGGAACAGTACTTTCAATGAAGCTGCACGCCCCACGTACAGACCGTACGCTGATGTGGGCACACTTGTGGGCGGACCACGCACTGAGCACAGTGCCCACTGTGCATGCGCAGCTCCAAGACAGAGGCCAGGGCTGCCTCTGGGGACCTCACACCACAGCTGTGGAGAGGAAACTCCTGCCCCTGGAGCCCAACTGTCTCAGCAGCCGGAACATCTGGGGAGGAGTCAGACATCAAGGGCTCCCAAGCGTCCCGCTGCAGTCGCTGCTCGCAGCCCTCTCTTACCTTCTCTCCGTGGGCCTGGGCCTTCTGACCACTGACCACGTCCTCCAAAGGCCGAGCTGTGAATAAAAGCCAACAAGACGCAGACTTCTTTCTTTTCCCTCACAGCACAGCTGGGAAGACACTACATAACATTAAGATTCAAGTTTTCCAGAGAAGACACAAAACTTCTCCTGCACCAGGGGCACAGACGGCCTTCATCTCAGAACGCGGCACGGGGCGCACCTGCCCAGCCCACCTGCCTGTCTCAGAATGAGTCACAGGAGGGGTGCACCTGGCCACCCGCCTTTGTCTCAGAACAAGTGGGGGGGGCTGGTCGGTCCACCCACTTTCACCTCAGAACAAGGCACCAGGGTGTGCCTGGCCTCCCGCCTTTGTCTCAGAACGGAGCACTGACCAGTCCACCAGGCTGCACCTCAGAATGAGGCACTGGGGTGCACCTGGGCAGTCCACCCACCCCAGTGCCCCCCTTCCTACACCTCTTCTCCCAGTAATGCGACCAAATAGACAGATAGACAGTTTGGAGGAAAATAACTTGGGGGGAATGGCAACAAAAATACCAGGGGCCTCAGGCAGGCAGCTGTGTTTCCCGAGACACCTCACCTGCCATCCCACCTCTCCCTGCTAGCATGCATGAAGCCCTGGGTTCCATTCCTCAGCACCACATACACAGAAAAAGCAGGAAGGTAGAGCGCTAGCCTTGAGCAGAGAGACTCAGGGACAGTGCCCAGGCTCTGAATTCAAGCCCCAGGATTGGCAAAAGAAAGAAGGAAGGAAGGAAGGAAGGAAGGAAGGAAGGAAGGAAGGAAGGAAGGAAGGAAGGGAGAAAAGAAAGAAAGAACTTATTTTTCAGGGCATGTAGGAGGGCACTGATTTGGGGAGGGGACAGGTGAGGTGGGAGGGGCAGCCTGAGCCCTGGGCTGGGGTCTGATGGACAGCAGGGACCTCGGCAGACCTCGCTGCATTTCCACATCTGCTCAGACCCCATTCAGAGAAGTGTCAGCAAATCACCTGCCCTGTCCTCCCGGTCCTGACCCTTCAGTGCACCATGGAGAGTAATCTCCTCCAGGAGAAGAAAGCCGGCCTTGCCCAGAGCCATTACATCACACTCCAAGAGCGCCCAGCCCCTCACCCAAACAGTCCTAACCCATCTCCCTGCTCAGTGCCGGCCACACCCGGCCCGACACCACGCGGCACTGATCCTTCGCAAGTCTCATTACGTAAAGTAACCCCCACAAGTCCTTCTATTAGACCCTGGGGGGGGGGCAGGGGCAGCAAGGCCTTGCTTTCTTTCCCTTGCTTTCTTCCCTGGGCTGCCCTGGGCTCCAATCCTCCGACTTGGGCTACCTAGAACTTCTAGAATGGGCAGCATGTGCCACAGTACCCAACTACTGTCCCAGGATCACAGGTGGGTGAGCAGCACTGGGCCTAGCCATTGAAATGTCTCGTGAGCTATCTGCCTGTCTGGTAAAACCTGGACTCCCACATCTCCAGCTCCCACATAGCTCAGGAGCAGGAGTGTGAGCCAGCACACTCAGCTTAAACGTGTGTGTGGTTTTAAGTCATTTCTGTGGTAATGCGAAAAGGGATAAACTGTCAGTCTGGCAGCTAGGAGAGTAGAAAGGAAGCTGAAAATGCAGCCAGGTTCCCAAAGCAAGAGCCATCAAGCAGAAGCAGACACCGGGAGTCTCAGACACAGGAGCGAGGAGCTGAGGTGCTCGCCTAGAGCCACGCCATGTGTAGTTTTTGGCAAGATTAATTCATTGAAATAATTCCAGGGCCATGGATGATACTAAGTTCAGGCTGACAGAGGACAAGGAACTGTATCTAAAGCAAACTTTTCTGTCATTTGAAAAATATACTCAAGTGTGCAGAACCTACTATGGCAGCTGCAGGTCTAGTTAACCAACAATACCAGAGGCCAGGAGCCCCTGGGATCTGCCCTGACCAGGTCCCTCCCCTGCACAGGAGAAGCTGCCCCCAAGTTCTGAAGACCTCATGGTTTCTCTGATCCCCAAAGGGGCTGAAATTCTTTTCACATTTATGGACCATTGTTTAATCCATGAAATCTGTTCCCATCTGGTGCCTCTTTTCCCACAGTGTTGTCTTCTTTTTCCTCAGAGAATTGGAAGACTCTAGGGCCAAGGAGTGGCTCAGGTGGTAGAGCAAAGCCAAGTTCAGACCCCAGTACAATTTTTTAAAAATTCTTTAGCTTTTAGATGCAAGTTCTCTGCATATTCTGTGTCTCTTTCTGCAGCATCTGATCAATGTCTTAATTGTCCATGGAGAAAAATGTATCAGTGTTTCTCCTTGAAGGTTCATGATTGTTTTATTTCAGCAATACTACCTTAGCTCCAAGTCATGAAGCCATCTCCACAATATTTTCTAGAAACCTTACAGCTCTGCTTTTCAGATTTAAGTTCTTACCCTGGTGGGACTTTTGTAACGATGTGATATAATCTCATACATTTTGAATATTATTACTCCCCAACTCCTGGCACACTGCTATGCAACTAATATTTAATAAACAGACTAAAATACTCCTTTGAGTGAACCTCACTATTTGGGGGGGACCTTGAACTCAGGGCCTGAGTGCTGTTCCCCCCACCCCCCCCGCTTTTTTGCTAATGGCTGGAGCTCTATCACTTGAGCCAGGGCCCAATTCTGAGTTTTGCTGGTTGAGAGAAGGAATCTTGCAGACTTTGCTGCCCAGGATGTTTTCCAACAATCCTCCGCGTCTCCACCCCCTGAGTAGTTAGGATTGTAAGCACGAGCCACCGGCGCCCGGGAAGACCACGGTTCTCTTCCAACACCCAGTACCCATCAGCACACAGGAGGCGTTGAAATAAGAAGGCGCCCCACGCCCCACGCCCGGGCCGACACCCAAGACAATGGAGCCACTGGGCTGCATTTAAACGGCGGCCTCCTCCCCGAAAGGGGAGGCGGCCAAGCCGTCCGTCCTCGGGGACCTGACGACCAGCGGCTGCCCACCGCACCGTGCGGGAGGAATAAGGCACTGACGCGGGACGGGC